TGTTAGGAGGGACTGGGGTGAAGCTGGGTGAAGTTTTCAGAGGAAAGTAAATTCTACATATTTAAGATTATGTCATAGAACACATGATTTTACTTTCTTTTGAAGCAGTTGTTTAGAATTTAGGTGTCAGAGTGAATGAAGAGTTTACACATCTGGATGTATTTTCTTCCTTTGACTATAAAGTTTTTGTTCTTTCTTTCCCCAGTTCATATGCTTTTTCATTAATTAGTTAATTTCTGTCATTGTTGATTTGAAAGGTAAATCATTGGAGGAGAAATATGAAAAGTAAAACAATATCTATTGGGAAAAAAAACTATGTTATATCCACTTATACACAGCAATATAAAAGTGACTCTACACTTACGGTTTAGAGATGAGAAGATTTTTAAGATTTCTCCCCTCAAACACACTTTAATATAATGTTGGTTTATAACATTGGGTCAGTTACCTTAATTGTGAGGCAACTTTACATATATGGACAAATGATTTTTTGTTAGATTTGGGTTTGTATATTAAAAAACATACTGTTTTTAATATATATGTCAGGAGACTTTATTGACATGATCAGTATTTAGACAATGCCATCAATTTTAAATAGTAATGGAAAGACTCTGGTATGAAATATTTATGAAAATATAGATCCTCCTTTATAATCAGGCTGCAGGGCTTGAATTATTGCACAATTTCTTGCTAGTTCTCTGAACTTTGGCATGTTGCTGAATTTTTTCTTGCCTGAGGTTCATCATTTGTAAAATGGCATTAGTGATATTAACCTAACTCATATTATTATTACATAATAAGTTAATATGTAAAGTGCTTGATATATTGTACTGAAGAAATTTAGCTATCATTATTACCATAAGCTTTATGAGTGAAGGGTTTGTATCCCTCTTTCATATCTTCAGTAAAATAATTGATTGCATAAATATAGAAAATAATTGTAACAGAAGTTTGCTTGTTATAGTGCTAGAATTGGCTCAGATTTATCCAGAACTGCTAAAATGACATTTTATTCCTTTCATAGCATCAATGCAAATTAATTTTCTACAAAATCTGGGGAATCTTAGCACAAAAGAAAACATAACTTAGTATGCATATTCCTTAAATTGAATTAGTTTGTCTTTATCCTTTTCTCTTTTCCTTCTGGAAGTAGCATGGGTTTTGTTATCAGAGAAACTGCATTTCAATCCTGGCTTTACTTTCAATAACAATAAAACTTAGAGTAAGTTGATAAATTTGCTGTGAACCTCTTTCTTCCTGTGTAACCCTGGACTGATGATGATACTTTTTACTACTGAGTGCCTGCTGCTTCCTTTCAAGCCTCTGTCAATGTCACTTTGACTCAGGGAAACTTACCTCCCCTGTTCCTGAGCTCGGGTGGTTTGGTCCCTTTTGCTCTAGCATAGTAGTTTTCCACACCGATTTTCTTTCATCTCTGCCCAAAGATGGTACATTCACAGGTAAATGCATCTCTGTCCTGTTCTCATTGCCCCACACATAGTAGGACACAGTTGAATCTCAGTCTGACTTTCAGCCAATGAGAAATCAGTTACAATAGCAAAATTTGAACTTCCTCCAATTGCCAGCTTTATTCAGGTGATATAAAGCATAATGCTCTCTAAATAAAAAAGCAAGTTAGTTATAATCCTGGAGACTTTTCTGCCATATCTGTGTGACTAGATAGGATTGTCTAGTTGTGGTTATCATGCAATGCATTTCTTTCCTCTTTTCTATAAATTTTATGAATTAGACCAAGACAGGAGTATTATACATCAGCATGGGGAGCCCATAAGGCTGACTGTATTAGTTTTTCCAGGTTTGGGGGCTTTGAGCACATTGTCAGATACGTGCACATGCCTGTGTGTTCATACTGTCTTGCCTAACAGCACATTTGCTCTTTAGAAATGTAATTATGTGGAGACTAATTAGTCGCCTTTTTTCAGTTATTTAGGTGACAGAAAAAATAAAAAGGGCTGTGACAGACTGTAAAGCTGAACCTGAAGGGGTAGAGTTAAGGTGTCTTAGAAAATAAGAATTGGTAGGCTTTGGAGACTATAAAATGGTGTTTTGAAGATAAGAACAAACCAGGTTTCTGTTTTTAGCACCTGGTGCCAATTGCTGAGGTTATCTTCATCTTTTGTTTCCCATCTTTTATTTCATTTGTTTATCTTTTTATTTTTTGAGAGGGAAATGTTGTCTTCAATTTTTAGTTTTGTGGATTTTGAAATTCCGGTGAGTACCTAGATTGACATGACTCGTAAGCTGCTGAAAATCAATCTGGGTGTCAGGAGAGAGTCCACTGCTTTAGAATTGAGGGCAGTCAGCATGTCATGAGCTGCATGTGACATGATGTCATGCAAACACAGCCTTTACCCAGAGAAAAGACAAGGTCCTGTGAAACATCAGCTTTTTTTCAAGGAACATGTGACTGTTCTTCAGAGACACTCATTCTGTGAGGGATGGTGCCAGGGAGAGATAATGAGAACTAGGAGAGACTACTTTTCCAGAAGCCAAGAAATATAGAGAGTTTCAAGAGAGAAGATGAACTCAGTAGTGACAGCGCTGCAATTCAGTGGGCTGTTTATGTAAACACACTGTGTTGGGTTTTGATAATTAGTAGAAATTTGATTAAGATATTTCAGAAAATTCTGGGAATAGATCTTAAACTGGATTAAGGGGTAAATAGAATTTGGGTCATTGGGCACCGTAAACCATTCTTAAATGAAATCTGTCTTCAAAGAGAACTCTAATAAGTGGTGGCTAGAGACAGATACTGAAATAAATAAAGGTTGGAGGGTGTTTTCTTCCTTCTGTGCGCAGAGACACTTGAACTATTTTGTAGTCTTTTTTTTTAAATAAAAACTTTTTTTTAAGATTAATTTATGCATACAAGAACTGGGGTGTAAGCCAGAGGTGCTGGGGGTGAGAGGATTCATCAGAGAGAGGGGAAAGCAGAACAGGCAGATCTACTGAAATACACTGCTGAGGGGAGCTGCAGGTGAGGCAGGAGATGTCTGCAGCACCACATGGGTTAGCTCTGCAGCCGGGGATTAAACTCGTGCTGCAGAGGCTGGCAATAGCTTGATAGTGCTGTCTTTAACCACTGTGCCACCAGAGAGGCACTATTTTGTAGTCTTAAGAGAAGGGAAATCATTAGGGGAAGAGATAGAAGGTACTGGATAAAGAGGGTCTGGCTCTTGGAAGGGCTGTAATTCCTAAAGAAGGTAGAAAGAATATAAGGAGATGTCTGGATAGTAAGTCTTTGGAGCCAGTAGCCTAGGAGAACCACCTCTTTACCTGCACAAAGGAAAAGTGATAAAGGTAACATGTTTGTGAAAAGAAATAATATATATATTAGCTACTTGGAAAGCACTAAATCAGTAAAATTTGTTACAAAGTTATTGTTTCTCTTTGAAAAGTGTGTTCTTTCTCTTTATCAGTTTTACCTGCTTTTAAAGACAGTTGGTCAGTTTTCACAAACTCTAGAATACTACCCAGAAGTTTTGTTCTTTCTTGTTACTAGCAACTGAAAGGTCTACTTAATAGCACAGTGTAGCAATTTTATGATCAAAGTGATTGTTACTCAAAATTTTTATAGAAATATACATTTATGTGCATGTGTAAGTGGTGCTTATGTTTTAAAATTATTTTCTTATTCTAAATTTTTAATAAATGTTAGTAATAATGAGTCAGGTACTCAGTCCTCATAACAGGAGAGCATGGTTTAATTTCAGATATTTCTTCGGGCCTTTTTTTTTTTTTTTTTAAATACGAGCACTGGGTACAGGCCAGACACTTGGGAGGGTGAGCAGATTCACCAGAGCCAGAGCAGGGAACGGAACAGGCAGACTGACGAAACACACTGCTGAGGGGAGCAGCGGACGAGACAGGAGAGGTCTGTCGCGCCGGCAGCTGGGGATTGAACTGGCGCTGCAGAGGCTGCAGGCAGCTTCGCAGCCCAGTGTTCAACTGCTGCGCCACCAAGGGAGGCCCTGGATTTTTCTTTAATTATGTCCTTTTAGTGGTGTGGTGTGTTTTTAAAATACTTTACAAAATGTGAAGTTTTTATCAGTAATATCTTATTTCCTTAAATCTCCATTTTATCAGCATTTCAAAGCAGTTAGCAAATTGAATCTACACTTTGAGGTTGATAACAGTGTATTCGGGCCCAATAGAGGTGCCAAATATCTCTAAGGTACTTGCTGATTACAAGAGATAGAGAATAGGGCAAAAAGCCCCCAAAGCAATTGCTTCTGGAACTTAGCCTTATTCCCTGACCCCATATTTTTGTAGATATAATCTTCATTTTGGTCATGAGGATGGGATCTGGAATCACTGGGATAATCCCATGGCTATTATGTTAGGAGCATCCCACAGGCCCATGCAATCTCATGGGCTATAGAGAAAAGCCTGATTCACAGCAGTGAATGGAAATTAGTCCCGCCTTCTGAAATTCAAGCTTTTTTGACCAAATCCAAAAACATCAAAACAACAATATGGATAGTCTTAAGTCTTTCTTTGTTCCTTTGTAAAATCTGATTAAATTCTGATGCTATTCTATTAACCCAATTGCCTTTGGGAAGTCATGCACCAACATTTCCCAAACAACATGGTTAGTGAAAGGCATCTCACCCCCAGCCTTCAGTGAGGCTCCTTTATGAAGTTATGATAAAATGTTCATGCTCCACACAGAAATCCTGATGGTTTGTAATTTTAGTGGGAGTGAAAGGACTGCTGGAAGGGGGAAAGTTCAATAAGGGTTAGTTCTTTCTGAAATATATCTTAATACTTTCTAATGCAACATAAATGCAGTGGATACCTCTTTAATATCTTCTCTCCTGAGGAATCATTTCCTTCTATTTAGAATTTATTTTTATAGTACCAGGTCAACTTTTTTATGACCCCATTAACCAGCTTTATTTTTGAAAAATAAAATAAACATTGTGGTTTTATATAGAGTAATACAGTCTTGTCTCCAAATTTCTGTTTTCCTCATGCAGAGGGTTACTTCTACAGGAGAATAGCAGGTTTGCAGAAGCACTGCATTATTATAAATTGGCGATCGGGAGCAGGCCCACACTGGCTTGTAAGTAATAGTTAAGTTTTTTAAAATACCTCTTTTCTTCTTTCTGTGTTTTTCCTATTTCCATGAAAATCATCTTGGTGACTAACAGACTCACAGAGGGGAAAAAAAAAACAACAACAACACATGGTACCCTGAATTCTGAATACTTGCCAATCAAATTTTGAGGCTCTAACAATTATGCCTCAGTGTAATCACATTGGTATCTATTATTTTTGCCATGTTAAGTTCAATACAAATTTTATTGATTTAGATTTTGAGTTGAAAATATTTTGATCTTCTTGAGGGCAGAGAATATTCCCTGTATTTTTCAGTGACAGCTGCATTTTTTTACTCAATTACTTGTTCCTTACGCATTTAACTTTTGATTTTCTCTTAAAATCAGGAATAATTCATAGAAACTGAGTGAAATTAAACACAACTTTACTATGTTCGTCATGCACATCATCTTCTCATGTTTGCATTTCTGCTTTTTTTCCTGTCAGCTGCATATTTAAACACTGGCATTATTCTGATGAACCAAGGAAAGACGGAAGAAGCCCGCCGCACATTCCTTAAGTGTTCGGAGATCCCTGATGAGAATCTAAAGGACCCACACGCACATAAGAGCTCTGTCACCAGCTGCCTGTACAACCTGGGAAAACTCTATCATGAGCAGGGACACTATGAGGTCAGGCCAAACCCTCTCGGTCCTTTTCCTTCCCCCTTGTTTTGATTAATTTCAGTGTTTTCTAATCTACAACACTATGATCCTTTGAGGCGCTAGTATGTGTTTTCTTAAAAGCATTTTATGGTGAAATTAATTTGGGAAAACAAACTTCTGTTAAACATAGCGACTTGTTTCTTTACTGTGACTTTATTTCTTGGATCAGTTGTGCCCAAATGGATTGTGATTCTTTAAGTAGGAAAGAGAAGTAATATGCGATGCTTCTTAATTTTACTATCTCTTTAATTTTATGATCCAAGGCACGTTATTATTGTTATATCTAGTGTTTTGATGACAAAAAAATATATTGTTTTTTCTTGTAAGCTCTAAGGGAGTGATTTGGTAAATGCTACCTATTTCTTTTTTTTTTTTTTTATAGAGGCATGTTTTATTTATTTGTTTGTTTGTTTGTTTTGTTTATACATGCACTGGGTACAGTCAGAAGCGCGGGAGGGTGAGAGAATTCACCAGAGCCAGAGCGGGGAGCAGAGCAGGCAAAGGACCGAAGTACACTGCTGAGGGGAGCAGCGGGCGGCAGGAGAGGTCTGCGCGCCATGTGGGACCCTCCTTCAGTGGCCGGAGAGCAGCCGGGGATCGAACTGGCGACTCAGAGGCCGTGGGTAGCTTCGCAACCCAGCACTCAACCACTGCGCCACTGGGGAGGCCCAAATGCTACCTATTTCTTAATTTTTTTTTTTTACTGGGAAAGGAGGAAAAGGATGGAGACAGGATATTTTACAAAAAGTTGGGAGGTTTACTCAGCCTTATTCTCCCCCCCCCCCCCTTAAGGAAGCATACCTGCATAGATTTCTTCTCTTACATTCAATGTTGCCTCTTTTGTTTTTCTTTCAAACTGCAACCCCCCACATTCTTACACAGTGTTTTAAGACTGCACTATAAGGATAAAGATACAACTTTTAAAATAATTGCATTTAATGACTACAGTGGTTCTCAGTAGCTAGAAAATTTGTTATTATTTTATTTACACCTACTTGCTTGCCTGACTTAAATGTGGAGTTTAGATAACCATGGTTGACTTTAAATAGGATTTTTTTTTTCATTTTTTTGTGACTGAATAAAAAATACAAACTGGAAAAGTTGTGTTCACCTAAAAGCACATTCCTGGCATTGGACTCTGTTTAACTAGTCTCTGTAGTGAGTGTTGAGTACTTTGTACATGAAATTGAGAGAGCATGAAATCAAAGGACAGATCAATTATTTTCCTCTAATGAATCATTTAGAAGCAACAATGGAAGGTTTTAATTATGTGAGGATGTTATCTCTTATTTTCAATGAATATCCCTGTACTTTATCGCTCTTTTATGTTGTTGTCATTCCTTAGGATGCCCTTAGTGTATACAAGGAAGCAATTCAGAAAATGCCAAGGCAATTTGCCCCACAGAGCTTATACAACATGATGGGTAAGTAAAACATTAATATTTTAACTGATAGTTCAGGGACCTGTGGAGAAATGAAGACTTGTGCCTCTGTTCCAGTTAATATTAAATTGAATGGTAATAAATTATATCATGTAACTCCTCACTAAAAAACTTATTCACAATAGGGTATCACATTCAAATTTCTAGAAACCTCACTTGTTCTGATAGAGAAAATAAATGCATTGACCTAGTGATTCTCAACACCCAGTCCCTGCATTGCTGCAGAGGCTTACAAACCCATTTGGATTTGAATGTTAATTAAACTCTAGAGACTGAAAAAAATGAACACAGTGCATGTAGAGTTTAATGAATTGATCAAATTCATGTTATTTTCTTAATCAGAAAATTCTCACAGGTAAATATGCTATGAAATTCATGATTTTTCCTGCTTGCACAGATGAGAATAGCTGAGCCAACTTGTATGGTTTTCAATTACAAGGTTTTAGAGCTCAGTAGTTTTTTTCAGAGTAGCACAGTCTTCTAGAGTGAAGGCAATACTGTGAAAAATATGCATATGCAGTACAATTATTCCTGTGGCTACACTGAATAAATACCTTCATTCTCTTATTGGTCAGTATGTATGTAAGTGAGCTTATGGATTTTTGTTTTTTAGGTACAAGAGGTCAAGAAAAAGAATTTCTAGTAAGATATCTATTGCCTACGATTGGCTTGTGAATACCTTATAGTAAATTGTTCCCACAGCCATTTAATAGTAGACACAGCTGAAAACTGCCAGTTTGTTATGGAATCCTAAACTTTAATATCTCCTGTTGATTGATTAACTTTGCTGTTTTCTGAATAAGGAAGAGAAGAGAAGGGGTTGTATTTGTCTTCAAGTACTTTTCTACAAATCTCAAATTCAGGTTTTCCCTTTTCAGTAAATTTGATTGAATTGTTTGATATAAAATAAATGAGACTACGTGATCTCTGGAGTTATTTTGTGCTTCTGCATTCTAAGGATTGAGAAATTTGATAGTCATTGCTACATGAGTACACATAAAAAATACCCAAACCCTCCCAAATAGAGAATATAGGCCTGGACTTGACACTTGCTCTTGTTTATTGAAATAACAGAAAATTTAAAAATAGTTTAGAGAAAAAAACGGACTGGTCATTTACAGGTCAGTAAACAGAAACAAATACATGATTTAGGAGATGTTAATATATTCATCCCATCCGTCTCTGTGAATCCTGCCTCCAGTTAGCATGTGCGGCTGTGCAGGGATGTGATGTTCCTATTAAAGAGGACACGGGAATATTTTTATTTGCTGTTTCCTTTCCTCTTTGGTACAATTACTAAGGTAAAATCTAACCTTATTACATGTACTTTTGACCTTAAACACTTATGAATTGAAAGAGTCTTTTATTATCCAGCATTTTGCCATAGTTTAACCTCCCAGGTAAAATGTACCTGTCTTTAAAGTGTGTGCCTAGAATGTATAGATTTATCACTTGAGTGAGCTTTTCAGTTTTAATACTGATTGGTTATTCACATAAAAATGAAAAGGATTGTTTTCTCTAGTTTTGTCTAATGCAGCATGATGGTTTTAGTTCCTGATTTGTTCTGAACACTAACGCTTGGGAAAGCCTTATTCCCAATTTTCCTCAATTTTATCAGCAAGCACATCTTTCTGGAAATTAGAAATTAGACTCCTAGAGCCTTGCCAACGGACTGTTAATGGGAAGGATGGTATTCACTACAGTTAGTGATTTCAGAAAATTCATTCAATTATTTTATGTAAATAAATTTGAGAATTCAGCTGGTACCTTGGGGTCCATCTGTCATATGGTTATACAGATGTTGAGCACACACAGGCAGCCACAGATAAGTGTGTCCCTGGGGTTCTTGCTAGTCCTTTGTCTTGCTTTCTGTTATAAAAATGGGTCGTCATTTCACCCAGACTCTGAAAAGCACTCTAACAATTTGTGAGGATAGAATCCCAATATAGTGTTAAATTCCAGATCTTCCGTAACTGGGGTGGCTGCTTTCTATTTTATGTCATGGTCTGTCAGCTGACCAGGTTTTATGGTTTCAATTGTTCACAGAACTATGATTTTCTCAGAGAGTGAATTCACCTCCTAATCAAATGGGTAAAATGCTCTGAATGTTTATTTTAACTCCTAATACATTTTGATTAGCCTCCATTTGACAAGGGAAAAAAAAAATGGCCCAGGAGATAAGATGCCCTATCAGTTCATCAGTTTCATTAGTCTGTCAGCATGTGCTGATTATCCTATCAAGTTTATCAACAGCCTGGAATCTGTTTTCTCATTCACACATTTACATATTAGTGGTGCCCTTTAGGGATCCATGATGGATTATGATGTCTGGCTAGATAAAGCCTGTGAGTCCTCATTTTTTCTCATGGCTCTTTTTTTATACCTTCCTGACTTTTGTCCCCAAGCACTTGTGTTGATATATATAAATATTTTTTTCCTATTTTTTTTTCTTTTATTTGGATGTTAAGAAAAATAAAGGGATATCTTTGGAAAAGTAAAGTTGTGTTTGAATGTTACTTTTAGTTTAATAATTTATTGCAGTTGCTTTAAAAAAATCTAGTCTATTGCATTTTTCCTCCCTTTGAACATTGTATAAAAAGCTGATATTACTGCATTGACTGATCCTGAACACTGAATTTCCCATTTTTCCATCAATAGAAAATAACAAATTGAATTAATTGACTTCCCATTTAAGTCTTCATATATTTTTTTCTTAACTGTTGGTAAAAGGTTATCTGTGGCAGGTAAAAGAAACTACTTAAAAGTCAAGTCTTGTTATTCTCTTTGATTTCATATAACCAAGATATTTGAATCACAATTGAGAATCATCTGATCCAAAATTATGGGAATTACAAACATATATAAATATATGAAACAGTTGTTAATTATTTGATAAACAATAATTAAACCTTCACCTAGGTTGTTAATTGTAATTAGCAACATATGAAAATACATGATATTTTAAGAAACAAAATCACAAAAAAATCTATAAAAATTGTTCCTAGCCAGTTGTGTGACTTTAACTCTATAAGCCTTGGATTCCTCTTGAAAGGATAAGTTTAATTCAATGGAAATTCATTGTGGTGTGAAGTCAGGGAACCCAGGTTCATATTATGGCTTTGACATTCACTAGCTGAGTGACCTTAGACAAATGACTTAATAAACAACTTAACTGAAGTCTTAGTTTCCTATCCATAAGAAGGTGGTGATAGTAGGATCAGTTTGAGGATTGTCAAAGATAATGAAGGTAAAGAATATTAAACCACATGCCACATACACTTAGTGTTTTATAACATTATTTTCCAATGCAGTCATTATCATGTCCATGGGCCTTTAAACTCCAAAGGTCTAATTTGTATTCTCTCAGTTATTTTTGCATTTACCAATGCAAAATTCTCCATAGATAAGATTTTGTCACAGTGCTGGCCTTGTAGTCACCAACCAAAGTTCAGCAGGGATTTATTTAGTTCTGTGCTAGAATTGCTATATAATTCTCTGCAAGCGCATTTCCCCTTGTCTGTTTAGCAGTCACAGTCTGTGACCTTTTATCATAAGCTACGCTGACCAAAAGTGAAACACCATACTCAGTTAATAATGCCAAGTTAGCTTAATTCCATTAATAAAGTACTCTCATCTCCTTTCCCTGTCAGCACACATTTTTCCAGTAGATTTAATCAAAGTTATTATTTATTCTGACACCTATTATAGGTTTTATTGAATCTCAATTTCTCATAGGTGAATTTTGGAATCAGAGAATGTTAAGGCTGCAAGATTCATATCTTAAAAATCCTCCTAACATGATCTCTTTTATTTTACAAGATAGAAATTAACACCCAGAAAGTTGAGCTCATCTGTTGAGAATTACAGTTTGTGTTAGAAGCAGAAATGTAGTTCCACGGCTTAAATTCAGATGCTTTCTTCTTTGTCCTTCTGTGTTAGACTGAAACTCACACCTTTTCTACTATGTCAATAGAGCTTTTTTTTTTCTTTTACCCATTTAGTAATCACCAAAATACATATTTTATTAGATAGATATGTAGTATTTTATATGTATATAACCAAATATGTATATAACCAAAATAATTCATCTTAACTGAAAAGAATAAAGTACCTACAAAGCTGTGTTTTCATCATAGATATATATGGAGGATATTAAAAACAAAAGCTAAATGTGATGTAATTCTAACCATAATCATTTTTTCCTTCTCTATAATTTTTTATTTCCCTTATTATGTCTACTAAGCATTACCTCTAATAATCGTAAAAGATGATGGAAAAATAAATTAGGTTGTAACTTTCAATTACTTTTATCTTTTGTGGCTCTCTAATCCCAGGGGTCATTTTAAACCTATTTACTCTTAAATAAAATTACTCGGCTTTCTCAATGTAAAGTAATTGTTAGGTTTAATTATGTAAGCAATTTCAACCATTTCTTCCTGGTAATATATCTTGAGAACAAAAGGGCATAATGTGTTGTATGGAGTAAGAGGGAATCTAGAGTTAATGCCCTGTTTTTGCAGTCTATAATCACTGTGTTTACAGTAACCTCGGTGCACAAAAAAATAAATTTCAGTCACAAGTGCCGAGGGAAGGGGTATGGAAGTGGTAGTATGAAATGGATATAGACCATGTGATTCCTGCTCTTAAAGACCTTTCTAGGAGTTTTCACAGTTGGTCAGAGCTCTTAAGTACCTTTTATTAATAAGTAAATATCTATAAATAAAATGGAAAATTGTATTATTCTATTATCAAGTATTTTATCCATAACTATGTAGGTTTGCTAGTTGACTAGACCAAACAAACCAAAGTAAATTAAACAAGAACAACTTTAAGCTTCTAAAAATTGTGATAGTAGCATCAGAATTTGCATAAATATATATATATATTTTTTCCCCTTAGTCTTTAAAAAGTGTGTTTTTGATAGATGACATGCTTTTATCTTAGGGAGTGATTTCATTCTTTGTTCAGGGGAGTTGCATGAT